TTGCCAAAAAATTGAAACTTGAGTCACTACCTATGAGATCTTCACTCAAAACTGCTCTAGAGGAGTTGTACACCCCTAGCTGCCAGTGCTATTCAGTGGCCTAAAATAAAATGTTTCGCTCCGAATGATCGCTACAAAGTATGACCTGTGTTTTGATTTAGTGTGCTGATCTTAAAGGTGCATTGAAAAATTATAATACTCCTATTGATGCAGCCAGCTATGGCTGCAAAGTTTTTGTAGTACATGTTTATGCCATTTATTGTGAAAATTCCGTCACAGTTCCTATGATTGCTTTTTCATTGCTTTCATGGCTTTATTTTGGTGATTTCGAAAAGTGTATTGGTTTAGCCATGTTTGTTTGTTGTAGTACAGAGTTAGACTGATGGCCTTAATCTAAGTTGTCTTATGGTTGTTGTTGTTGTTGTTTGACTTGCATCCCACTGGGATTTTTGCACACAGCGTTGGTGTACGGTGTTTTTTTCTGCAATATTTTGCTGTCTTTTCTTGGATTTTCTGTTTGCACTTAGTCACATATTCACTTTAAGATGTTTTTTGTTCATGTTTTTGTTTTTTGTTTGTTGCGGTTGCACCCGATTCAAGAGCCGAATGGCTCACAGGGCTATACCTAATACATGAACTTGAAACAAACTCGTCAACAAACTCAAGCACACACGAACAAAGACGCCCCCAGAGAGCCTTGAGCGGACTATCGGGGGCGAGCGCTGTAAGTGAGCACATTTGAAGGCCGGCATGATGCAGTGGGAGGTGGGGTGCGGCCAGCACCACGCCCGGCCACCTTTGTCTCCCCGATGCCGGTGTTTACTTACCGCACCAGGTGATAATATCAGACTGAATTGACATAGAGGAGGCCCCAGGTTAGGTTCAGGTTATCTTTCACCGTAGTCGTGAATAGAACCCAAGTTGCTAGGTTCTTCGCGCAGTGCTCAAGCCACTTACGCCACCACACACACACAAGCCATGCACCCGTCCTCCCAGTGCATTCTGTTTGCAGCTGACATAGGCAAGGTGCCTTGTGCTGAACTATTATTGTACCGGCACCCTGCCTCTTTGCTAAGTGGTCATGTTACGACGCGACACACTCCCGACGACGAGACACCATCACAGATATGAAACGAGACCAGGTTTCAGCTGCCGAGCTTTGGGTGCCGACAGCACGTTGTTGAATACACGCGCTGCACTCGGTGGGCTCTACGTATGCACACACACAGGTGTGTGCACTGGCAACAACAACAACAACCGCCATTCGCCACTAAGTGGCAGTGACGTCACCACGACGCTTGTGCCAGGCCATGTGCACCTTAAGGCCACGTGAAGTGTCGAACGCCCGCTGACAGGAGGTCACGGGGCAGACCCAGCAGGTGCCACGGGTCGACTGACTGAGATGACCGAGATGACTGGCTGATGCACCACCTGTGCCCCCTACTGTACCAACTTGCTGTGCTTTAGCACTGGCAACGCACGTACACACACACATACACAGCTTCGCGCTGGCAACATAGGCCAGCTTTCAGCGGAGCGCGTTAGGTGGCCTTCGGCTATCGTTTTATTGTGATTGTGACCACTGACCTCTCGTAATTAACAAAACAATCACTCCGAGTTCACCCTGAACATCTTCACTGCCAATGGCAAATATGTAACCGGGCTACTGGAAAAAGCCACGTTGTGAGGCCTGGCTTAAAACCAGACGTGTAATTTACGTGACCCAACTTTATTGATTTTTTTGCAATGGAAGTTTGTTTGCAATGTCGGAGTGAAATTGACGAGAGCTGTCATCAGGGTTGTGGCCAAGGGGCGGGCTGGTGTGACTGCCGGGGAGATAAGAGTCCACTCGTCACAATGATCGAGGTGGGATGGAGAGGTCTGGGGGGAGGGATATTCAGCAGCCAGTGCAAGCCTGCCTTCGCCCTTACCGTAAAGATGTCAACGTTGATGCACTGACGTCTCTTTTGACGTGAATGAAAATGTTCAAGAACTGGAGTGACTTAGAAACATTCTATATATGTATATTTTAACTCTGCAAACTAATCAAGTCAAGTGGAGTTTGAGGCAGCTGCAATTGGTGCAAAGGCAAGTTCGTCTTCTTTGCGTGTCCTGCCACCACGATAATATATTCACGCAGTATCGAGCACGAGATATTGCCCAGGTTTGTAGCCCGGGTGAGGTAGAGTATCCATAATAAAAGGTTTTTTTGGGGTGGTTAGATCGCGTAAATATAAATGTGTTGTTAACCCACCACCACCCGACACAGCTGATTGGTAAGGTTTGTCAAGCAAATCAAAATGGGGCAATTAGTTGCTACTTCAGCACACCGGTGTGTCAGAGCAGGGGTCGGGAACCTTTTTGACTGGGAGAGCCATAAAAGCCAAATATTTCTAAATATATTTCATTGAGAGCCATATAGTATTTTTAACGTATAATAAATTAAATATGTCTTACTTTTAATGCGACTTCTGGTCACGGGACCCGTGACCCGAGACATTTTATCTTGAAAACTAATTTCTGTTTACTTTAAAATGACACAGTATTATTAAGCAATATCACAAGTATTTTAAAATCAGTTCCAAACTGATTTTATTTTTATTTTATTTTTTTTTTTCAACTCAAAATTGTCTGGGAGCCATATGCCGTCACCGGAAGAGCCATATATGGCTCGCGAGCCATAGGTTCCCGACCGCTGTGTTAGAGAGTTCAACGTACAACGTGCACAGTTGGAGTACCGTGACAGTCTCGCTGGCGATTACAGCAACCAGCGTCATCGGGTGCTTTGCCAGAATCGTGAAGAAGTCTTCCAGGTGTGCTACGTGGCTCCTCACCGAGGCGACAGACCAACGAATAGCTCCACGGGTCTGTGCTTCACCATCAGAACCCAGTCAAGTTGTGAAGATTTGCAACAACGGCGAAGTAACGGTCTAGGCAAAATGTAACGCAGCCATTGCTCTGGTCATGAAGCAAGCCACATGGTGTTGTTGCTTAGAGCGATCGACTCACGGTCGGAAGGAAACCAGCCCGCTCGACTCTACAGCCAACGTCCTCTGCTGCAGAAACACGGGGCTCTGGAATCACCTGGCCAACTTCCGCTCTATGGGAGGTCTCTCCTACTCCTCTGCTGTCCCTGAGACTTGAAATACCTACTCCAGTGGCTGTCCGTACTGTCAACTGCCTCATCTTACTCAAGCCCGGCGTTGAGACGTCTTCTGTCGATGAACAATAGCGGCTATGAAGTCCGCTCTGTTTCCACTCCCATTGTTTCTTTGAAAATATCGCCCCACATTACATATTTTCTCGACGTGCAAGCATCGATTCCTTGCACGGCACGTTCACATGAATGTCGGCGTTTTGCATAAGGGTTAATTGGAAAGTTTGTGGTGGCTTGACGTAGCAAAGAATGGATTTGATTAAACTGTCACGTTCTTCCCCTGATGTGCAGTGCACGTGGGCCATAATCGGTGCTCTAGGGTGGCTTTAATCTCCACCGAGAATAACGTCTGTCTGGCCCCTAAACCAACTCATTCACGGCAGCCTTAACGTAATTGGTGCCCTCGGCAAACTCGGATTCGTGTGCCCCTTGTAAGGGACCGTCTGGTAATAACCCTGCCGCGTGCTGTTATTTGTGACCCTTCACGTGTCCCGTGTAGGTCTGTGTTACCCATTGTATCCACTGTAACACAGTGCAACACAGACATGCACGAGACACGCGATTAGCATGGTTGGCTACGTGTAGTGCGAAAGAAGTTTAACATACATTGTATGCATGCTTAATGCACACAATGTGGGGAGCGGGAGTGTAGCGGTTAGCGCGTTGCGCTCCGAACCCATCGACACGAGTTTGATTCCCACTCACGGCCAACACCCAGTGACGATTATCTGAATCGGTCCTGGGCCTCCCCTAGGTCGACTCAGCCTCAAATGAGTACCTGGTGTGGTGTGTAAACTTAGCCCACCCCTCGCCCCTCCACTTCTTCCCGTCTCTCCCCGACCCTTTCGTGATCCATAAGTAGCTCAATACTCAATTCTTGCACCCTCCTGTGGTCTAAATCATTCCATTCTGCCGCTGTTGGTTTAAGCTATTATCAAGCGACATGCATGAAGGGGCTATGTAAATATGAAATGAGGCAAGACACACTGCATGAACATCTGACGTCACTTCTTTATGGGCGGCACATCGCTTTCCTTGCAAGGGATTCTTCCGTATAGTGTCCAAACATGTGGAATTCCCTGAGAGTCAGGTCCGCCGAGATGGAGTTCTATACATTTCACCAGTTAACCGATTATTTTCTTCACATTTCTCCACAATGTTCAGTTAACGTCCACAATCATTTCAAACACCTGAGCTAAGCCTTTGCCGTGAAATTTAATTTATAATTTTTTCCTCCCAAAATATCCAGGACTTTAAATTTGCTCAAGCAGCACATTCCTGTGACATGGGTCAGAGACACATAGACCTCCCCCCCCCCCCCAACAAAGGACATGGAACAAAGAGAATGCGTGCTGGGAATCACACGAAGAACAACCACAAAGCTTCAGTGTGTCTCGAGAGCAGTTGGCAGTGGGCTAGGGCTGGACGCCTCGCTTGAAGGGACGAGGTAGGAATGATGAAACTGGTCATGGAATGGCAGCCAAAGGGAGGGGACACGCCCGAGGGAAGGGACTCGTTCATCGCGGCGAGCCTGTGAGCGATTGGGCTAGAACAATGGAGAGGCCCTTGATCCAGCAGTGGATAGGACATGGCAGACATTGATGATGTCTGCGATGACGATGAAGATGACGATATGATGGCAATGATGATGACACTATGACCGATGACGACGACGATAATAATGATGATGATAATGATGACAACGATGATGATGATGATGACACTGACTATGACGACAACGTTGATGACGATGAACACGACGACGATGAAGACAACGATGACGCGCCGAACTTAGTTCCTTGCCGGCGGGACGTGACGGGGGCGGGGGGGTAGGAGCACTCACTTGACGCGCAGGTTTCCCTGGTTGGGGTGGCCTTCGAAGACGGAGAGGAAGTCGTAGTCCTGCTCCAGTGCGAACGACACGAACGCGATCTGGATGCGGTCTTGCTCCGCCGCCTGCAGCGCCCACGTGCAGTTGGCCCCGTTGGGGTAGCCGAAGGGAAATCCGGGACTCTCCACGCTGCCATTGAGCCCCTTCAGCAGCCCGCCGCAGCCGTGACCTGCATGCACGCGTACACCAGAAGCAAAACGACGCTTCATTTTAACCGGTTAAGGCCCCCACTGAGATGCGTAGCTCTCTGTGCAGAAGCGACCTGGCGGTCACGAGATGATCTCTCGACGAATGTGACTCATCGCGTGGAAATGCGCAGCGGCCGAATGCTCTGAACGCGTGTTCTTGCCCCCCCACCCCAACCCACGCGCCTCCAATTAGCACGGTTGGCTACGTACGGAGCGAAAGAAGTCCAACGTACATGGACACATGTCGATTCTAAATGTGGAGGGGGCGAAAAACCCGAGGAACTGGAGAAAACTAAAAAAAGAAATCGATTGCGACCGCGGGGAGGAGACGCAAACTCCAAACATACTGTGCAGGCGTCAGGGTCGGGATCGAGCCAACGACCTCCTGTATACCAGGCGAGGTAGTTAACATCTCGCCGCACACCCACCCCACCCCACTCAAATTCCGCCCGCCAAGCCATTCAGACGATTGGGGGGGGGGGGGGGGTTCAGACAATGAGCATCCATCAGCCGGGCAGTGGTAGCTATACGCGTGGCCTGCGACCCTGCACTGTGGAGGGAGCAGCCAGGGCTGGTGGATCACCGCACGAATGACATGAAACTCTCCTAGGGGCCGTCCATAAATGACGTCACGCACCTAGGGGAGGGGGAGGTTCAGACATTTGTGACGATGTGTGACGAGGTGGGGGTTTGAGAAATGTGACGTCACATCAAAATGCGCAACTTTAAATAAATATAGACAACGCGTTCTACTTAATTAAACATACTTTTTAAGTATTAAATACGCACTACAATGACAATAGTTTAAAGCGATTTGAAGCATGTTTTATTTTCAAAATAAAAATATGGTTTGGGGGGGCAGAGCTTTGTGACGTCATATTTGAGGGGGGGGGGGGTCTCACTTTTTGTGACGTCGTGTGACGAGGGGGGGGGGTTCAAAAATCGGCCAAAATCGTGTGACGTCATTTATGGACGGCCCCCTACCGCAGCCGTCGAGGCGTCATAACCCCGTCTCGTCACGAGAATGCGGTACAACAAAAAAGCGGACCCCACCTCTGCCGTCTGCATTGGGATAGAGTGTTTTGCCTCTCGTACACGTGGGTTTTGTCCGTGTCTGTGGGTCTATGTGTGTGTCTATGGGTCTGTGTGCTTGTCTGTTGGTCTCTGCGCATCTGTGGCTATCTGTGTGCGTCTGTTGGTCTATGTGTGTGTATGTGGGCCTCTGTGTGTGTCTGTGGGTCTCTAACTCTCTATGCATAGCTGTAAGTCTCTGTGCGTGTCTATGGGTTTCTGTGCGTGTCTGTGGGTCTCTCTGTTAGTCTGCGGGGGGGGGGGGGTATCTATCCGTGAGTCAATAAAAATAATGATGAATCCTTGATTCTTTTCGGAACGCAGTCACAGGGTTCACATTTTCACTCCCACCACGACGTTCCCGAGGCGTTCCGGCCCATTCCCACCACTGGCCGTGACCAGATCACAGAAACGGTGGGTGAACCGCTTACTCGCACACGCACGAGCGAACACGATGCTCGCTCTCGATCATTCGTTAGGCGCGCTCTTTCCGAAAGGGAAACTCCAGCCTGCACCATCTCCACGGCCACACACACTCACACGCGAGAGTGTTCCGTCGGGCAATTGCTCTTGCTTTGTTGACTGGGTGCACGTGTGAGCAATAACCATATCAGACGTGAGTTCATCTGATCGGCGTAATCATTGGTTCACCAGCTGCTGGTGACCCTCAACCAGTGTTCATGTCGCCACACGTCATGGTGCACGTGCTTCTGACTCCGAGAGGAGTATCGCCTCCGATCAGGACAGTTGGCTACGTACGGTGCGAAAGAAATTCAACGTACATGCATGCATGCGTACGCAATGGTATAATTAAAACAGAACATCGTAGGGTTTTGTCCTGTAAATGGGAAAAACACCTCTCTGTGTCACAAACGGCTCGGGTTTTGTCGCAAGAGCCTTTGACTGGGGAATGTTTGTGGCCTCATTGCGCCCTTAATTAGTCTCCAGAAGTCATTTAGCTCGCGATATTATTATCCCCCAGCAGTATGTTTGGCGAACTGTTATGAAGCTGCAATGTGCCTCCACGTCTCAATAAGTTGAGCAAAGTTGCGCCAGTGGTTGGAAATCCCTACATTCCAGTAGCAGGAGGGAGGGATTTCAAGATGATAATAAGTAATATTTAAAAATACTTTTAAAAAAACACGCTTTAATTAAATGTACCGTTCTAGTAATGACAGAACTCCACGACTCCAAGAAGTGGGCCCGAAGCTTGCCATAACGTAAGGGGACGTGGTGATTTACAGCCAACGTCAGTTGAGCGTGGACAATTAGACACAAGCCGAAACATAACATTCAAAAAATAATGTTTAAAAAATTATACTTATTTTTAATGATAGAACATAGTATTGTCATCAGTATGATGTACGTATACCAAGTTTGTAGTCGATACCACATTGTAAAGTGGGTTAAAATTGAGTTACAAGAGTTGAGGATACGACAACAGCAACTGACAGAGTGAGTTAATAGAAAGCGTGTAAAATAAAAATAAGAACTATTTCAAGTTGTAACGTGCCACACAGGGTTCGCTCGCTCGAGCACACAGAGAGAACGACGACTCGGAGGCGATATGAAGGGCTGCACATTGCAATGTTTCAGTGTGAAAAGCCACTCTCGACCTCACGTCTCTCTGAGAGGAGACAGAGAAACATCGCGAGCGAAGGCAATGATGATGCGCGTAACAGCATCGCCGTCCACAGTGATGTCAACACAATACGCTCGGCCAATGATTGTTTTTAGTTAGGTATTATTTTATTCAAGAACCCCCCCCCAAAAAAAACACACACAACGCAGAAATCCGGGATGGAAACCTGACCGCGGACTATAATGGGTGTCTCCCTCTCATTAGCGAAGCTTCGAACTGGTGTGCGACAGCCCCTGGATTAACAGCCCAAGATGACAAAACCACGCTCACGAGATAACGCTACATAAATAATTCGCGCCGTTCTCTAGAAAATATGTTACACAGATTAAAAAAATAAGCAGACAAAACGTCTCCTTCCACGTACAATTCGTTGTGTTTTTTTTTTCAAACATCCCATTAGCCGCACGGCCTTCTGACTGCTGATGAGACGGTGCATGTTAAAACGACCCTGAGTTTTGCTTTTGAGTTGCCCATTGATGCTGAGATTACGCCTTGCGGCTGACCGAAAGATGCAGAGAACGACGTGCTTCTTTTCGTTCCACGCATTAAAGGCAGAAATGCAAAAGAGGCGCAATTTGCCTGCTTATTTATTTTCTACATCTCCGCGATAAGAGCCGCATTATTTGTTTGCCGTGCATGCTTCGTCGCTAAATAGGCGTGCATTCCTTAAATAGTCGAACGCTATCTCGGATTATGCGACGGACAATAACATTTACACGGCGGTTGTCACACGTGTAAACACTCGCACACCTACGCGCATCGGCGTGACAAATGCAGCCCTATTAGCAGCCTTTAACACAACTTACATGGTCAATAGCATACCAATGGACCCAATACGTCAATGACACGGCCACACTGCGCTGCACAAACCATTCATTCTTTTTTTTCCTACGGCCATTTGATTGAACTCATGGGACTGATGCCTCTTCACGCAGAATATGAAATGTACGCACTTTGCTTGTGGCGCATCTTGGATGGTGGTGTTGGTGGTTCTTGTGGAGGCTCTGAGAGTGTTGTGTTGTCTTCGTGCCTGTGTCTCGGTGAGTGTGTGTGAGTGTTCACGCGTGTCTCTGCATGTATCTCGATATTTATCTCCGTGTTTCTGTGTCTCTGTGCGTGTCTCCATATCTCTGTGTTTACCGGAGAGTGCACATCTAAATGCCTCCGCATCACGACAGTGACATCGCTGTTATATTCTAAAAACGAAACTAACCTATTTTTATTTTAACAGGTAAGGCACACTGGGCAATTTAGCTGAAACAACCTGGTCATAAGTGATAGCTCAACAACGTGGCTAATCATGTCGACATTTATAGCAGTAGCCAAACGCTCTAAACGCATGCTTCTCAATGTAGAGGGAAAAAACGGAGGACCCGGAAAAAAAAATCCACGCGATCACAGGGAGAGCATGCAAACTCCAAATATACAGGCGTCAGGATCAGGGTCCGAACTCACGACCTCCTGTAAAACCGGCGAGGTCGTTAACATCTCCTCACCGTGGCACCCCAATCAGTCTCCGGCTAATGATTCATATTCAAATGAGCACAGGGAAGTGCTCATCTCTCGTGCCATTACATAGCCAGTGGTGGCAAATCCTGACTTGTATATTGGGGCCAGTCTCATTATTACAACCACTCTCTTGACTTCTGCCAAAGTGGGTCTCATTTAACTCACCCATAACAGGAACGAGGGGATGATCTAACTCATGACTGGGATTTGAACTTGTAACCTTAGCGTGAGACGAATGCTCTGCCACTAGTCTGACATTTTTGTCCATCAACCAAATAAAAAAGTTAAAACGCTATTTTAAAAAAAATGTCAAATTGCCACTGGGTTTCCGACCATTCCCATCAATGATTCTAATCCATTGCCACAAATGTTTCATTCCCAAGAAATTGGCCTACCTCTCAAACACCCCCCCGCCCCCACTAACCAAGCCCCTTTATCTCGGCAGCAGCAGTGGCTGCATCGGCCCACAGGCTCTGCCTTTTCTAAAACTTGTCACGGTTTTATATTTAAGTCCCCCCCCAAAAAAAACGTCAAACACACGGCCGAGAGTGCGAATGAAATTTGTTTGCATTTGGCATGAAATGTGTCAAGTTGCAGCGGGAAACATGAGCGATGCTGCCCAGCCTTCGGCCACGAACCCGACGCTCAGCTTTGTGTCTCCGCACAACACAAGCTGTCCAGGACAGCTTTTCCAGTCAATGTCCGCTGGCTGTAACGGGAGAGTGTCCATCAAATCGGCGCAAGGATAAACAAGTAAAA